GGTTGAGGATTTAGTCTCACAAAACTGTCCCCCACTTCAGATGCCAATCACAAGCCCCAGGTTGCAGTCTGTACTTCTGACAACTGGCTATAGATCAGAGTTCCCATAACCCCTCCTAAATCAATCTATTAATATTCTAGAGTGCCTCACAGTATGCGGGGAAACACTTATGTTTACCCATTCATTAAAAAGGACATTGCAAAGGATACAGAGGAACAACCAGACAAGAGACGCACAGGGCAAAGTACATGGGAAGGGGAGCCAGGCTTCCATGCCCTTTCCAAGCAAGCCACCTTCTAGGAACCTCCACGTGTTCAGCTATCCAGAAGTTGTCCAAACCCAAGCCTTTTGTATTTTGATGGAAGCTTCATTAGGTAGGCATGAGGGATGAAATCATTGGCCATTGGTGAGGAGATTAACCTACAGCCTTTCTCCCCTCCCTAAAGGTTAAGGGATAGAGCTGAAAGTCCCAACACTTTAATCCTGCCTTGGTTTTTCTGAGGACCAGAAATTCTAATGTATAATGCTGAGGCTATCAGGGGCCCCAGTCACCAGTCATCTCATTAGTATACAGAAGGCACTCTTACCACTCTGGAGATTCCAAGGGTTTTGGGAGTTGTATGTCAGGAAATGGACTATGACCAAATGTATATTTCACAGTATGGAAGAATGGAAGTAGGTTGGCGGCACAGAGATTAGTGTGGGAACAATTACAGAAATTAAAGGAAAAATTAATTAAGGCCTAATCTAAGGCGGTGGCAGAAGAGATGGTGAGGAAAACAGTTGAAGGTTTTAAAAGAGAGACTTACTAAAATAATGGCGAAGAGATGTAGGTACGTGAGTTGGGGGGAGGAATGGGTTGATTTCCCAGGTTTCTCACTTGGTACCAATCACCCAGATTGATGCATTATGTAGAGAGGAGATACTTAGCCTCACCAGCTCTCAAAGTCATTGAACTGTTGGGGCACAGGTGACTGCAGTTGTGTACGTAGTCCCTTGGCTAAAATCTGAAGGATAGCCCTTGTAAAGCTTTAATGAAACACAGCTTTGCTCATCTTGGCAACCTGTGCTGACTGCTCTCTATAAAACTGCTAGCTGTACCAGTTTGGGTGTAAGGATATGGTGTTTGTCTTCTAAGAAATCCTAGCTACTGGCCAGGCACAGTGTTCACACCTGTGATCCCAGCACTTTGGCTGAGCCAGGAGGATCACTTGAGCCCAGGAGTTCAAGACCAGCCTGGGCAACATAGGAAGATCCCACCTCTACAAAAAATAAAAATTTAGCTGGGTGTGGTAGTGTGTACCTGTAGTCTGAGCTACTTGGGAGGTTGAGGCAGGAGGATCACTAGAGCCTGGGAGGTTGAGGGTGCAGTGAGCCATAGTGGTGCCACTGTACTCCAGCCAGGGTGACAGAGTGGGACTCTGTCTCTCAATAAAAGAAAAAGTCCTGGGTACCTATTAGAGAACAAAGTTATTCCTCCAACAGGCAATTCAGATGCTTATTTTCTTTTGTTCCTAGAATAGAGTTTTGAACTTGATTATACATTAGAATTTATCATGACTTTTTTTTTAACCTGATGTCTGGTCCCACCCAAGAGCAATTACATCAAAATTAAAAAGTGATCATTTCATGTACCCACATCTGAGAACCTTCTAGATTCACTGTCCTCATGAATCAGAGTTCTAATTTACATCCCTACTTTTTGGGTTGATACTCGGCCCAGAGAGGAAACTCGAAATTTGAGTTTGTGATCAGTGCCAGTGGTTTGGTTTTCCATTGCTGCTATTACAAATTATTGCAAATTTAGTGCCTTAAAAAACACACAATACCTTACAGTTCCGTAGGTTAGAAGTCCAACGTGGGTCTCAGTGGGCTAAAATCAGGTGTCAGCAGGCCTGCATTCCTTCCTGAAGGCCCTACAGGAGATTTGTTTCCTTGCCTTTTGCAGCTTCTAGATGCCACCCACACTTCGTGGATATTGGCCCCCTCCCTCCATCTTCAAAGTCAACAACTTTGCATCTCTGTGTACCTTTCATCCGTAGTCAAATCCCCACAGCCAGAAAGGTTCTCCAATTTTAAGAGCCTACATAATTCGATTGGATCCACCTTGATAATCCAGGCAATCTTCCCATCTTAGTCACATCTGCCAATTCCCATTTGCCATATAAGGTAATATATTCAGAGGTGCCAGGGATTAAGATGTAGATATCTTTCTGGGATGAGGGGCATTATTCTGCCTACTGCAGCCAGTTTTCAGAAATTATATTACAATATAGTAAATATGGACCAGCTTTGACTAGCCCTTTTAAGTAAAATACTACTTCAGTTCTTCATAAATATTTGTTGGACTGAATTGAAAATATGAGGTTTAAGCATTTGTTTGTCTACTTTAAAAGGATGACACTGGTCTTGGGGACCCACAAATGACTACTTTTGTTGTTCTCCCACTGTCTAGCTTTAAGCAATCTGTCTTTTCTGTGTGTCATTTTTTTTGTTTTTTTTTTTTGAGACGGAGTCTCGCCCTGTCATCCAGACTGGAGTGCAGTGGCACGATCTCGGCTCACTGCAACCTCCATCTCCTGGGTTCAAGCAATTCTCCTGCCTCTGCTTCCCAAGCAGCTGGGACTACAGGCGCACACCACCACACCTGGCAATTTTTTTTTTTTTTTGTATTTTTAGTAGAGATGGAGTTTCACCATGTCGGCTAGGCTGGTCTCAACCTCCTGACCTCAGGTGATCCGCCCACCTCGACTTCCCAAAATGCTGGGATTACAGGCATGAGCCACAACACCCGGCCCACTTTTCTTATCTATAAAATGAAACATTTGGATTTGATGATTGCAAGGTGCCATGAACATTTAAAATATGCTTGGGTACGTCTAGGACCCAAATATTGGTTACATACTACTGCTTACATGATTTTGATTTTCTGTGAGGCTATAGAGCTGACATGAAAATAAGCTGCCTGAAAATTTTAAGAAACACCTACCGGGTCTGGGTTCCAATGAATGATAGCTGAAAAGGAAATTCAGGTGTCGAGGTAAGCTACAGCTTAGAGGAAAGGCTTGTAGAGGGTGAGTATCAAGATATTTCAGACTAGGGCCGGGTGCAGTGGCTTATGCCTGTAATCCCAGCACTTTGGGAGGCTGAGGCGGGTGGATCACCTGAGGTCAGGAGTTCTAGACTAGCCTGGCCAACATGGTGAAACCCCGTCTCTACTAAAAATACAAAAGTTAGCCGGGCATGGTAGCAGGCGCCTGTAATCCCAGCTATTTGGGAGGCTGAGGCAGGAGAATCACTTGAAGCCTGGAGGCGGAGCCTGCAGTGAGCCAAGATTGTGCCATTTGCACTCCAGCCTGGGCAACAAGAGCGAAACTCTGTCTCAAAAAAAACAAAAACAAAAACAAAAACAACAAAAAAGATATTTCAGACTAAATGTAATCCTCAGAAAAAGGCAGGTCTTGTTCAAGTAATTTAGAGGTCAGTATTGGAAAGAAAACTAGAATTATCTGGGAGGATTTATTCAAACCAGCCAGAAATAATTTGAATTAGGAATAGATTAGACTTAAGTAAAAATTTCCTGAACTCATGTTGACTCATGTACTAAATAGAAGGGGGCTGGCCACTGCTTTGTACTTAAAATCAATTACCTCCTTGGAAAGAGACAATATAACTTTTTGGCTGTCTTAGTTAAGACTGCTGTAACAAAAATACCATACACTGAGTAGTTTAAACAACAGAAATTTATTCCTTACAGTTCTGACAGCTGGGAAGTTCAAAATCAAGGTGCCAGCTCATTCAGTTCCTCGTGAAGGCTCTCTTCCTGGTTTGCAGACAGACACCTTCTTGCTGTATCCTCACATATCCAAGAAAGAGATCATCTCTTTTATGTCTCTTCTTATAAGAGCACTGTTCCCATTCATGAGAGCTCCACCCTCATGACCTAATTACTCCTCAAAGTCTCCACATTCAAATACCATCACACTTAAGGATTAGGACTTCAACATATGAATTTTAGGGGCACACAAACATTCAATCCATAGCATTAACTAAGAACATGGGAGGCAGAGCCAGAAAGCCTATGTTTAAATTTCACTGCTTCCACGTTACGATTTTTGTGCCGCAGTTTTCTGAACTATAATATGGAGCTAATACCTCACAGGTTGTTGTAAGGATTAAATGAGTTAATACAAGTAAAGCTCTTAGCACAGTGCCAAATACGGTAGGAGCTAAATAAGTGTTAGCTATTAACTCTGAGATTTATACCTCAAATAGTCATTACTCATGTACTAAAGGACTGTACAAGGAATCCCTATCCAGCTAAAATTCCTTTTAAACAAAATTATAATATGCAGAATTTTTTCTGTAGAATTTCAGATTGATTATATGCGTCTTGTAAGTGATGAAGTAAAAACATTTTTAAAGTCACGGGATACTTGTGTATTATCTACAAGAAGAAGAAAAGGGAATTTATAACCATCTATTGAAGCAAGAGTTCTTAAAAAGTCTCTCATGAAGGGAGGAATAATAAGCAAAGTTAGTACCAAATCTCCACTATTAAAGACATTAAAATACCATTATTATTATTTTGTATACTGTTTTGATTATATTTTGGTGAAGCTAAAAATACTTATAAGGGCTCATTAGTTAATTCAGTACTTCAGTACCCCTGACCTAATTTCCCACTTCCTCTCTCTCTTCCTTTAAACTTTCCTCATAATGCGTATTCTTTAAACCCCTAATAATTTTTATGCTCTCTTGGCCACAAGAGATAATGGGTATAGCCTAACAATTGAAAATACTCTCTAAAATTGTGCTTGATGATGTGTTATTCTTGTTTCCACGATGACAAATGGCAACATATCTATAGATTCCCAAGATATGAATGGTGTATAGATTTGCCTTTTTCTCATTTTATGTTCAACTTATGTTTCTAAAAGCCTGTGACTGTTTCTGATTGAATTTTAAGCTTCTGTTGTTTATTGATACTTTTCTTCTAGTAATCTTGGAATGGGTGTCTGGGATTCAGATGAAGATGCAAATCCCCCAACCGATAATTCTATGGAAGAATCCAGAGAATGGCCTCTAAATAAAGACTTTCATGGGTATTAGTAACATGATTTTAAATGAATATTTTATAAAAATTATGAAACATATTTTTAAAATAATAGAGTAGTGGGGGAAATCCATAGGATTGGGAATCAGGAAATTTGGGTTCAGTGCTTAGCTCTGCCACTTACTAATTGTATGTGACCTAGATAAGTGATAACTTTTTAAGGCCACAAATGTTTAATTTATAACATAAGGAGTTGGACCAGATCAGTTAGCTATTCTTATGCTATATTCTAAAAACACAGTGTTTCATGAGATATTGTTAGTTTTACAGGAATAAAAAGTATTTTTTAAAGTCAAATAAGTTTGGGAAATGCAGCCCACTATGACCATGAACATTCACTGATTAAAAGCATTAGACATCCTGAAGAAACTTATTAAATTGTATTTAGCCCAGCATTTCCCCAACTTATTTAAACACAGAACTTACTTTTTTCCCCCACAGAACAAGCATTATGATATGGGACAATAAGGTTCTCCAAACTGGGAAATGTTGAAATAGATCATCTCTATGCTCTTCAAAATCTAAAATGCTATGATTCTTAGTAATAACTTGTATTTATTCTACCGATATATCAGAAACTGAATTAAGGTTTATCAAATGGTACTAGAATCTTTTCTATGACTTTCACATATAATGTGTATGTGTGTGTGTATATTTATAAACTGACAAGACAATAGAAAAAAATCTTGCAATCTTCTCTATCTTTGATAAGTTTCTACACTCTTTGGTGGCATTTTTCTCTACAAAACTAATTTCAGAATACATAGTACTAGTTTAAATATAAGAAATCGTTTGTGTTTGTCTTTGGTTTGATTTTTTGAGAAAAAATGAAATATATAACTTATTTTCAATACATTGAGATTATCTACTGTGAACTAATTTAATACAAGTTGGAACAGACACAATTCAGAATTTTCTCTTTCCCAGGAGAAGGAGCACTTGAGCAGTGCCAAGCACTGTTAGGCATTAGCCTCACAGGACATAACGTACAGGAAGGGTGTACAGAGCTCTTCAACTTCCCACAGCACTTCATATTGCCTTGACACAGTTCCTTTCCCTCACACAATCTCTGCTTTCCCATTCTAAGGAAGGATTTATCTTCAACATTGAAAATAACTGTTATATTCCTGTTTCTTATAAATCCTTGGGAAAATCCCTCTTAGGAGTTAGTGCCAGAGGCCGGGCACGGTGGCTCACGCCTATAATCCCAGCACTTTGGGTGGACGAGGTGGGCGGATCACGAGGTCAGGAGATTGAGACCATCCTGGCTAACACAGTGAAACCCTGTCTCTACTAAAAATATAAAAAAGTAGCCGGGTGTGGTGGTGGGTGCCTGTAGTCCCAGGTGCTCGGGAGGCGGAGGCAGGAGAATGGCGTGAACCTGGGAGGTGGAGGTTGCAGTGAGCCGAGATCGCACCACTGTACTCCAGCCTGAGTGACAGAGCAAGACTTGGTCTCAAAAAAAAAAAAAAAAAAAAAAAAAATAGTAGTGCCAGAAATTGGTCGGCTTGTTTTCAGGTGATATTGTGGGGATTGGGGGGTTATTTTTGTTTAGGTTGGGTTTTGTTTTGTTTTTTAATGAAACTTTCCTTTTATGTTCTTGTTGCTAGGAAGCACAGTTCTAATTTGTGGTCAATTATAGTATCTTATCCTAGGTCTTTAAAAGTTATCTTTTTTCATTCTAACCGAAATCTATTCTTTTTTATCTCTATTTCAAGTTGGTGTGTTTTTTATGTTATAAAACAGTTTAGCAGTTCCTTATAAAAATAGAAACAGACTTAGCATAGGACCCAACAGTTTCACTCTTGGGCATTTATCCCAGAGAAATGAGAACTTTTGTTCACTCATAAATCTGATATGAATGTTCATAGCAGCTGTATTTATAGCAACTAAGAAGAAACAGCCCAAATATGCTATTTATATAATAAATATTTTAATGTTATCAGCTCAATGTCTTTAGGAGTAAATTATATTTTGATTGTTTCTTTTGACATGAAGTCAGTACAATAAACCAGCATGTCATCAGCCATATTTGTAAGATTACTTCTTTAATGCATCAAATTACAGTGAAAGTGACCTGGTTAGGACACTTTCCTTTAAATGAAAAGATGCCATTAAATGTGTTCACCAGTTTTTACTAAAAATTTATTGTTTAACACCAAAACACTTTTGTTTGGAATTTTTAAAGCTTATAGTTACAAGCTGATAGCTGATAGTAATACACGAGATAGAAAGAGATTATTTAGGCAGATAGTGAAGGCAAAATAGTCCTTGGCAGACCCCTCTCTGTAGCAGAGAGCTATTCTCTTTCACCTGTTAAATTTCTGATCTTAACCTCACTCTTTGTATGTCTGCATCCTTGATCTCTATGGCCGTCAGACAGCAAACCTCAGGTGTCTCCCCAGACAACAAGGCTGCTTCAGTGGGAGGGTGTTTTGGGCTCACAAGTAGATAGAAAGGAGAAATGAAAATGAGGCACAACCCAATTTAGGAAAGATCACACCAAAGTCATCTTGTGTCCTGTTGAATTGCGTAAAGGGAGCTTTTGCTAATAGCATAGCATTTATCTTTTATTTATTGTTAAAATACTGGGAATGTATAGCATATTTCCCCCACCACACATGGGTCTGGGAAAAAGTCAAGGCTTCTTAATGATCAATACCCTCAAAATGGTGTACAGATAAACAATTATGATTATGTCAACAATGAACCTGTCCAAAGGCATAGGGATTTTGATGAATACCAGTGTAGTGACAGCATACCAGAAAAGAGACACTTGAGAGACTGGGATTTTGCTCACAAGGGACTAGGATCAAGATGTTCATTTTTTTGCTAATCATCAGTGTTATAACGTCTCCCAAGAGGAGATGGAGTTCATTAACCGGGTGCCTGGAACAAAACGAAGACCATTTAATGATCACCAGCCTCACAGTGACCTCCATGAACCAGACCCTGGAGATGATTTTGATTTTGTTAGCAAAGCTTGTGGACAAAAGATGCATACTGTTCATAACCAGGCCTATAGGAGCTTTCAGGAACACTTCCAATGAAAGATTTTGGTTTTGTTAACAGAGGCTGGAGACGAAAACAACTCTTCCATATAGCTGTGAGTACTCACCTCATGGGGATTTTCAGAACCAGTTACCTGTACGAGGTTTTCATTACTTCAGTAGAAGTGGTTTGCAAAGGTAAAGACCTTTCCACCAACACTGTTCTCACAATGAAATGAATTTGGAAGATAGAGAATGTACTGATAAAGTATCAGATCATACACTGGGACCTTTACATGACCATTCCAATAATGATTTTTCAGAGAAAATGCCCTTGAAAAAAATGTGTTAATAGAGGTTGTGGACAAAGATCGCCATCTTCTCAAAAATTTCAAAAACAAATGGAGTTAAGAAATTTTGTTTTCAACAATGGAACTGAACCAAGGCAAATATTTTACTATTACCACCCACCTAGTGAGCCGCAAGAATAAATGCCATCAGAAGACTTGGACTTTGACCAAGAAACATTCTTACAAAGACCAAGATCTTGTCAGGACCACCCACTTCCTATTAACATAAATCCTGATTGGTATTTAAACAAGTCAGTCATTTTGTTCTCTACACTAAGGAATGGTATTTTATTTCAGTGAAACACTCAAACTTCTTTCAAATTAGGGCATTTGTATAAACATTCAAAAGTGGTATAAAATTATAACTCAAAACTAAAATTCATATTTGTTGCGCTGTAGATTCAATTTACAATTCAATTACAACCAAGGCTATTTCTGATTGCTATGAATTGAAAATACCCCATTAAGTTATTTCTCAGGATTGAAGTAAATATAACTTAGATTTAAATAGTTTAATTATTGACCATAAAGAATATCAGAAACAGGCCAGGCACAGTGGCTCACATCTGTAATCCCAGCACTTTGGGAGGCCGAGGTGGGTGGATCACCTGAGGTCAGAAGTTTGAGAACAGCCTGGCCAACATGGCAAAACCCTGTCTCTACTAAAAATACAAAAATTAGCTGGGCGTGGTGGCGGGCGCCTGTAATCCCAGCTACTTGGGAGGCCGAGGCAGGAGAATCTCTTGAAGCTGGGAGGCAGAAGTTGCAGTAGGCCAAGATTGCGCCACTGCACTCGCCTGGGTAACAGAGCAAGAGACTCCATCTCAAAAAAAAAAAAAAAAAAAAATCAGAAACATGATTGTTAGACAAGGGCCTTGAAAATATTCCTTATAGATGTGCTACAAAAAATATTTTTAACATATGCAACCCAGTAGTCCTTTCTTCTATCATTCAGTAGTTTTTAAATCTGTACCACTTAGGCAAGAGCATTAGCAGATCACTGTCCTGAGAAATTGAAGTGCAAGGCAAGGAGAAAGGTGAAGCATGACACCCTAAAGGGAAAGAACAAGAGAAGAAAAGATATAAAAAGTATAGAAATCAAAAGAAAAGCCAGGAAAAGAGAAAGAAGTGCTGGAATAGAAAAACTAGAATAGAAAATAAGGCCACAGAAGAGAGAAAAGGTTGAAAGGAGACAAAGAGGTGTAGAGAGAAAGTCATTATGTGCCTTTCCCCGATTTAGAGTATATTTTCTCCAGTTATCTATGACATTATTCTCTATATATACCTGGTTAGATGTTAACTCCTGCCTGAACCTAGTATGGGTTATTTTGGTATTTCTTCAGAGACTACTCAGTTTTCCTCTCGTAACTTTTCTACCAACATCTCATCTATCTGGAGGGCTCAGAAGAAGATAGGAAAACGTGGGAAGGTTTGGAACCTCCTAGAGACTTGTTGAATGGCTTTGACAAAAATACTGATAGTGATATGAACAATAAGGCCCAGGCTGAGGTGGTCTCAGATGGAGATGAAGAACTTGTTGGGAACCGGAGTAAATGTGACTCTTGTTATGTTTTAACAAGGAGACTGGCAGCATTTCACCCTTACCCTAGAGATTTGTGGAACTTTGAGCTTGAGAGAGATGATTTAGGGTATCTGGTGGAATAAATTTCTAAGCTGCAAAGCATTCAAAAAGTGACTTTGGTGCTGTTAAAAAGATTCTGTTTTAAAAGGGAAACAAGAGCATAAAAGTTGGGAAAATTTGTAGCCTGCTGATGCAGTAGAAAAGAAAAACCCATTTTTTTAAAGGAGAAGTTCAAGCTGGCTGCAGAAATTTGCATAAGTAGCAAGGAACCTAATGTTAATCCCCAAGGCCATGGGGAAAATGTCTCCAGATCATGTCAGAGACCTTCACGGCAGCCCCTCCCATCACAGGCCCAGAGGCCCAGGAGGAAAAAGTGGTTTTGTGGGCAGGGCCCAGGGTCTCAGTGCTGTGTGCAGCCTAGGGACTTGGTGCCCTGTGTCCCAGCTAGCTGCTCCAGCCATGACTGAAAGGCGCCAACATAGAGCTTGGGCTGTGGCTTCAGAGAGTAGAGGCCCCAAGCCTTGGCAGCTTCCATGTGGTGTTGAGCCTGCAGATGCACAGATGTCAAGAATTGAGATTTGGGAACCTCTGCCTAGATTTCAGAAGATATATGGAGATGCCTGGATGCCCAGGCAAAAGTTTGCTGCAGGGGCAGAGCCCTCATGGAGAACCTCCTAGGGTGATGTGGAAGGGAAATGTGGGACAGAGCCCCCACACAGAGTTCCTACTGGGGCACTGCTTAGTGGAGCTGTGAGGAGAGGGCCACAGTCCCAGAATGGTAGACCCCAGAATGGTAGGTCCACCATCGACTTGCATCTTGTGCCTGGAAAAGCCACAGACACTCAACATCAGCCTGAGAAAGCAGCCAGGAGGGAGGCTGGACCCTGCAAAGCCACAGGGGCAGAGCTGCCCAAGACCATGGGAACCTACCTCTTGCATCCGTGTGACCTGAATGTGAGACATGGAGTCAAAGGAGGTCATTTTGGAGCTTTAAAATTTGACTGCCCCACTGGATTTCAGACTTGTGTGGACCCTGTAACCCCTTTGTTTTGGCCAATTTCTCTCATTTGGAACAGCTGTATTTACCCAATACCTGTATCCCCCATTGTATCTAGGAGGTAACTAGCTTGCTTTTACAGGCTTATAAGTGAAAGGGACTTGCCTTGTCTCAGATGAGACTTTGGACTGTGGACTTTTGGGTTAATGCTGAAATGAGTTAAGACATTGGAGAACTGTTGGGAAGGCATGATTGGTTTTGAAATGTGAGGATATGAGATTTGGAGGAGCCTGGGGCAGAATGATATGGTTTGGCTGTGTCCCCACTCAAA